GTATAAATAAGTATTTATATTTGTGTACAAGCTGTTTAGATTGTCAAAAAGCCTGTGTTTTTAGGGTTATTAATGAAGTTCGTGTACTCAAACCAGTAATATTTGGGGTCACAAGTTTTTGCCATGGATATTTTGTGGGTCAGAAGATAAAATGTTTGGGAACCACTGGACTAGACTAGTGCATCCTAAATTTAACATCAATTAATTATTTTAATACAACAGTCATTTCTGCATTTTTTTGGGGAGGTCACCTAATAAATGTCCTTACATAAAATCTAACTGCTCATTTTAAATCAATACTTTTACTTTAATACTTAAGTACAAAAAATATCAGATTCTTTAAGACTTTTACTCAAGTAATATTCCTAAAGGAGACTAACTTTTACCAAAGTAATTTTTGGTAAGATACTTGTACTTTTACTCAAGTGTCACTTTGTGGTACTTTATTAAACAGCCCTACAACAGGTAATAAGGCAATTAGGACCTTATTTAAATAACTGAACTGTATTCCTTTAATGTGGTGGCTGTAAATGTTTTGAATATAAGCTCAAGTCAAACTTTAAGTGTTCATGAAAGAGGATGAGAACGAGTCACAGCCGCAGCGGAGCATCCTTACCCGCGCAGCCCGGGAGGAGTAGGGGTCCTCGAACAGGTTCCAGATGACCGGCTGCCACTTCCTCCAGAGGCTCGCGTTCCCGTCGGGGGCCACGTCCTCAAAACCGAGTCTCTTCCCCACCTCGTCCTCCTCGTCCACGTTGCTGTCCACGTTGAGCTCGAACACGTCCAGAGCCTCCTCCGCGTCCCGGTGCTGCCGGTACGTCATCCAGCAGCACGGCTCCACGTCCGTCTCATCGATGCCCCAGAAGGAGAGCTCCTCCTCGAACAGCGGTCCGCACACGTCCGCCGGGCAGTGCAGCTTCCCGGTGCGGTAGTAGTTGAGCACGTAGGCGAACACGCCCGGGTGGCGGTCGAAGAAGTACTCGTCGGTCCGCTCGTTGTACTCGAGGAAGCCGGGGACTTGTTGCAGCCGATCCAGCAGCGASTCGATGTCCGAGTCGGAGGCGAGCAGCGCCAGCCGCGTCCCCGGCAGGGTCTTCAGGGTGCTTTTGTACGTCTCGTGCCTCGTGCCGCCCACGTTGAGGATTATCCTCTCGTTGTCGTCGAACTTGCCCATCGCTCTGCATCAGACATGACTTGATAACGGGCAGCGGGGCGTTGAGTTGGAGAGTCCGGTSCCGAGGTAAAACACGCCCACCGTCCGGCTCAAAACAGCCCCGCTGGCTCTGGTGTCAGCCGCGGCGCGCAGCATCCTCCGCCCGGCCGGCGGGGAGGCGGAGGGGACGCGGATGTTGTCACTTTGGATGCCGCTCCGCCGGAGAGCGCTGACTGATCTCTGGGTGCTGCTAATGCCCTCCTGCCTGCTCTCAGACGCAGCTGCTTCAAAATGAAGCGCACCTCTCTAAAAGACGATGACGGCATCATTACATGCCATTTATAAAAAAATAAATAAACAAATAAATAAACACTACGTCTTCTTGGTGTCGTCACCTCTTCATTATAGGCTAACAAAAATGATTTCCACCTTGTGAAAGGGTTTAAGTTTAAAGTGCACTCTAAAACCTTTTAGCATTCAACAGGTCTGATTTTTGGAGGAGCTCAGTGGCGGATCAAGAAATTATTATATGGGGGGGTGGGGGCACAAAAGGTCTAGACAGGGTGGCAATGCTGGACCTCGTTGTAGAAGTGTGTAAAAATATCTTAAATGTAGGGAGAACGGGGTTGGTTGTCACACTTTTTACTTTTATCTAAATT